CTTGTCCTCTTACAGTAAGGTGGGACAAAGACGTTACGGCACTAAATACCAAAGCATTTAATAAGTTCTGGGAGACCCTCCAGCACTGTTCTGGCAAACATAGAGGAAATGAAAGTTAATCTTTACTGTCACTGTGATTGTATTGAGGGATACCCAGGAATTGGTAAAACACACTTCTGAATGTGTCTGTGAGAATAGCTCCACAGAAGACTGGTGTGTGAGTCAGTGAGTTCAGTGGAGAAGATTCAACCTGAACATGGGCAGACGTGTCCATTTAGGTTGGAGGCCTGGATGAAGCCCAAAAGTGAAAGAAAGGGAAAGCTTGTGTACATGCATGCTCAATGATTCTTGAGTGACTGCATTTTTTGCTGCTGCCACCACCCATGAATATCAGACTTCAGATTCCTTAACCTTTGAACAGAGACTTACACCAGTGACTCTCTGTGGTTTCCAGACCTTCAGTTTTAGACTGGGTCTAAGTCTCTCTCTCTCTGTCTCTCTCTCTAAGTCTCTCTGTCTCTCTCTCTAAGTCTCTCTTATCTCTCTCTCTAAGTCTCTCTCTCTCTTTCTCTCTCTCCCTCTTAGCTGAGGTATCCAGTTTTTGGATTGAAGATCTACAGTTTTCCCTTCCTCTCCAGCTTGCCATTATGGTACTGTTAAGTCTCTGAATATGTAAGCCAATTTAATAAATTTCCTCTTTTAAACACTGTCAATTGGTTTTGTTCTTTGGAGAATCCTGACTACTACAGATGATGAGGAGGTTGTGTTGAGATGGAGGTGGTAAATATTCAAAGTACCATGGAATTCAAGGGCTCTGCAGCAAATGTTTTAGAAGTGAAAAATGAGTGAACTGTATTGAGCTACCAAGATTGGGGAGAGGAGGATTGTCTTTGTATCACATCATAGCCTAAACTGTCTAATACAAAAGGCCTCTTTGAAGATGTATCATTTAAGCTAAAAAATTTATGAGATGAGAAGGAACTAACAGAGAGACTATCCCAGACACAGGAAGCTTTATGAAAAGATGTTGAAGCAAGAAAGGACTCCTTATGTTGATACTGATGTCATGCAAGTAGAAAGTAGAATAGCAGTTATCAGAGGTGTGGGTGGTTAAGGGAATTGAGAGATGTTTGTCAAAGGATATGTAGTTATAGTTAAATAAGAGAAGTATTTTTAAAAATTACCAGAATAGGCAAATTTGTAGAGAAAGAAAAAGATGAGTGTTTACCCTGGGAAGTTGAGGTTATATGATAAGTCTGGGAGGGGAGGGAAATGGGAATGACTAATACTTGTCATGGAGTTTATTTTTTTATGTGATGAAAACATTTTGAAATTGATTGTGGTGATGGTCCATGTAATCATAGTTTAGTTTGTTCAGTTCTGTGAATATAGTAAAAAAAACTTTTGGATTGTATACTTTATGGCAGCACTGGGGCTTGAACTCAAGCCCTCATGCTTGCTAGGGAGTGCTCTACCACTTGAGCCACTCTGCCAGCCTAGATTGTATACTTTAAATGAATTAATTATATGACATATGAATCATATCTCAATAAAGCTGGCTTTTCTTTAGGGAAAAAACCCTAAGATAATAACATGCTCCAGATTTTCAAATCTATTACATAACATGATCAATATACTACAATTTTATTATGCAGAAAGGTGTTCTCTTCAGTTTAGGAGTGTTGTAGCACTTGTATTCTAAGCGGGGTCTACCACAGTAGTCTCATGAGCTCTCCACGAGAGCTGCAGAGAACAGGGTTTAGAAACAGCTCACTGAAAGACAATTGCAAGGAGCTTTCAGATTCACAGAGTGCTGTTTTCTGTTTCAAAACTTTCTCTTGCTTTCTTTTCCAAGAAATGGTTTGTGGTTTTTGCAACTAATTCCTGACACTGCTAATGATAGTGTTGAGAAACAAAATACTACACAGAAAACCAAACAGAATCCATAACCACTGGCTTTCCAGTGTGCTAACATGAACATCTCCCACTCATTTCTCAAAAGGTAAAGAAAAATTGTGTCAGAATCATAGATTTTCCAAAGTTCTTTTAAAATTATTGTTATTTTAAATATTGTATAGTCTACTTGCCAGAGAGAATTCTTGAATCCTTGCCATGCCGTTAGTAATATTAGTCTATTTCCACTGAGAGGTGGACTTCTGAGTGATGTCCTCTAGAACACAGCTGGGTATAGAGGTCTGGGCAATTTTCACTAGACTCAGAACAGAACCAGTCACTGATCCAGAGGTGGTAGGAGTGAATAGCACGGTGCTAGACTCAACAGCAGGTGCTCAGAGAAAATTCAGGCTGGCAGGCAGAATCCAGACACTCAACAGTTGTAGAGACTGTAATAAGCACAGAATGATCAATAGTATCTGGGAGATTTGTGACCAGGTTTGCAAGAAGTAGCAATTTGCTACTTCTTTGCAAATCTGATCATGACAGAAGCTGACAGAACAATATGTAAATATGCAGCTTAGTCTGTGATGAGGCTTTGGGCAGAAATGCAAGCAACATATTCTCGTCTACAAATCCCTGAAACCTAACCTTCCTTGCAATTTTGTCCTCATGATGTGTTACCTTGCCTCTCATCCTCAAAGTTCCCATCACTCTGGACTTCTTTCCAACCAACCTCTTTTGTACTCCAGTCTTTGTCATTTATATTAAATGCCATCTCCTCACAGAGGCATTCTCAGGACACTCGCAGTCATTCCATTTTTATCCCCCAATAATTTTTAGAACTCCCCCACCTCATTTTCTGCTCTAGGATCAAGGAGCACAGGATACCTGTTTGTCTGGTTCCTTGTGGCATCCAGCAATATCAGGCACTACCATATCCTGGGTAGTTATTAAACATTTAATGAACTACTGAATGAACAGATAAACTAACCCAAAGCTACTTAGAAAATGAATTGATTTAGTTGGGAAAGACAGAAGACAACAGTTTCTGTAGCTAAAAATATATGAAACCAAATCCCTGACTAAACAACAGGAGCCAGAGAGGAAAAGGTTGCCACTTTTATTAAAGTATTAATGAATGAGGGAATGAAACCATTTGGTGGGAGTGAAGTGGAGGAGGAGACGGCACTGAATGGCTTGAGTCTTGATGGAGAATGAACTATTACAGGATGATGGAACAGCCTGGTTTGGACATTGTAGAGGGTAACCAGAAAAATACCAGTCCTCCCTCTTGGTTTAAGAAATGAGGGAACCTGATCTTGTCTGATCTTGAAGACTAGGCAGCACTGGGCCTGGTTTGTCCTTTGATGAGAGAATGTGGGAGAATAAATAAGCCTTACTTAAGAGGATGGAAAGGTACATTTTCACTAGGGTTCAGTTTATGAAGATAAAGTCTTCACAAAGGTTTGGATATGGTGAGGCTTGTTCCTGATGGAGTATGGGTAGCGTGGAGAAAGGAGAAAACATCTTAAAGGGGTGGGGTATAGGGGTGAAGAAGCATCTGGAGGAAGATGAGAGTTACCCAAGGCACAAGGGAAGGAGGAATTTTTTGAAGATGGAGGATTACAGAAATAATAAAGCAGAAGTGATTTGCCTCAAACATGCAACTTTGCTGTAGTTTACAGGATGTCTGGCAGTACCTGGTCTAATTACAGAAAATAGTGCTCCAATTGTCCTGCAAGACAATGAAGACCTAATCTGGAGTTGGCCTCTAAACACATGGAAAGAATAGCTATCTATCACACCACTATAAAGGTTCTGTTCTACGTACTAGCTAGACAGTAGTGGCAAGCCACTTTAGAAGGCAAGTGGGTCTAAACAAAGAGTAGTATGTTTCTTGATCCTTGTCTAAAAGTTCACTTAGTAGCATACATTACTTCTAATTCCAACGTAAAATGAAGCAAGCCTAGTAAATGGGTTCTAAGAGCAACCAGTTTATTGTGACCTGTCCATCCAGACTCTGAATCTGTACATGCTCCTTGTGGCTAGGCAGAAAGTAAAGAGGCACACCAACTCTCTTAAGGTACTAGAGGGTAGTAGAGTAAATGAATATAATCTTTTCTCTAACATTGAGTATTTGTTTGGGTTTTTAAGTTATGTACAATGTAGTTAATTTGTTGTCTGTTCCCAAAGGTACAGTGTAAAACATAATCACTCATATTGAACACTGGCTTAATGACATTCCCTATATACAAATGGTACTTTATATATGCCACTCAATTTATTCGTCCCAATAATCTTAAAAAGTGAGCACTATTATTCTTCTTTGACAAATGAAAATGCTGAGTCTTGAGGGCTAACTTGTTAAACACATAAACCTGATTTCAAGCCCAATGTTCTTTCCAGTATTACTCACCTCACTCTGGAACCACAAAAAAGTAAGGCTCATTGTCAAAGAAGTGGTTATGGTTGTGTCCCAGAAATGCTCCCTTGAGAGAAGTGAAGGCAGAGGAAACAACATGTTAGAAGTAGCTGCAATTTGAAGTTGTTGTTGTTGTTGTTCAAGAGGTACTCTTTGAACAACCATGCAGCCCACTCCATGCTGTTCAACCTGGTGACCACAGAGTAAGAATCTGATACTCCCCCAGGTACTGACGGTGTTATGACATAACATGTTAAAAAAAAATATGAGTTACATTGATGAGTAAAGCAATACAGTACATTCAGACCAACACTTTGTAGAATACCAGGCAGAGGAGCAATCAATATGAACTAAGCTGTCCAGGTGACAGGAGGGACACAGAATCAAGCAAGTACAAGAACATGACTTAGAAAAACTAAAACTTTGTCTTTGAATGTTTCTGTAAATGGTTAGTGTTTTTGTAACTGGGAGTTGGCTTAGGAATTAGGGTGGCTACAATGGGGGAAATGTGGTGGTTTTCCCAGTTTGCTCAAGTGGCAAGGGCAAAGAAAAGTACTTGTTTTTATTCTCAGATTGGAGGAAACCAAATTCCTGACCGAGTTCCTAAATCGTGGGAAAAAGTAACCAGTGCCTTTGGAAGGGGGTGAGTGCCGGGGAGGTCAAGGGTCCAAGGGGTACATGCCTGGGTCTGTTTGTCAGCTAGAGCTGGTTGAAATGAGAAAGTGAAAGCTCAGAAGGACTGAGAAGCCACTTCCTTTTCAAAAGCTGCTTCAGAGCAGAGTGGAAAGCCCCAGACCCCCGTCCAGTCAATCCTGACAATCAAGGAAGCAAAGAGGCAGAAGGGACGGGTCCACGGCTTCTTGGGATAGGAGAATCCATGGATAAGTTTAAGATAGTGCTGGATCTATACCTCAAGTACCGCAACGCGCTGACCTATGGCCTGGTGACTCTGCTGACGGCAGGCGGGGAGAAAATCTTCTCCGAGGTGGTGTTCCAGTGCCCATGCAGCGATGCTTGGAACCTGCCCTACGGCCTGGTCTTCCTGCTGGTGCCCGCGCTCGCGCTCTTCCTCCTGGGCTACTTGCTGAGCGCGCGCACGTGGCGCCTGCTCACGGGCTGCTGCGCGCGGAACTCTCGCTCCAGGTGCCTCCTGGGCTGGCGCGGCGCGCTGGTGTGCGCGCAGCTCAGCTTGGCAGCCGCGCTCGCGCCGCTCACCTGGGTGGCGGTGGCGCTGCTCGGAGCTTCCTACTACGAGTGCGCGGCCAGCGGGAGCGCAGTCCTGGCACAGCTCATGTGCAAAGGCCGCGACCCCAGCTGCCGCTGGTTCCCTGCGGCAAGGCCAAGGCATCCGAAGTGCAGGAGCTCCTAAAGCACCTCAGGGCTCAGTCGCAGGTCAGGCGCTGGCGCTGGGCGCGGCTGGGAGGAGCAGAGGGGGCGAGCTTCCAGAGGGAGGGAGAAATCGGGGACTTTTCTCTATCCAGGCGTTACTCTAAGAGAAAGTGGAATGGCTTTTGTTTCTGATAAGCCGACAGGTGAATATTTAACTAAAGAGAATGAAAAAGATTGTACATGAAAGACCAGAGTGAGAATGACAGTAGGCACACGTCAGCTGTGCCATACACTGCGTTGGATTCTGTTGCTCCCGCTTTATTCTCTTAAAGCCCTAACGGGTGTTACCATCTCTACTACATGGTGAATCTCAGTTACAGGGGAAGTTGTCCAGCCAGGAGAAAGTGGTGTTACAATAAAATGGCCAGCCACAAGGCCACCACCCACACTCCTTCTGGGCTTATGAAGCTTATAGGTTCTTTAGAAGTAATGCTCCTTTCATTGGGTTTGTCGAAATCCCACATTTTGAGTGTTTTTGTTTTTGTTTTTTAGGACGAGAGGTGGGGAGTAAGTAGTTCTGGGGTTTGAATTCAAGGCCTGGTACTTGCTAGACAGGTGCTCTAACACTTGAGTCACATCCCTAAGTCCTTTTTGCTTTGGTTATTTTTGGAATAGGATCTTCCGCTTATACCCAGGTGACCTGGACTGAGATCCTCCTACTTACGGGTTTTGTAGGTGGGATGATAAATGTACCACTATGTACAGCTTTTTTTTTTTTTTTTTTACTGATTGAGAACGGGAGGGGGAGTGTCCCTAACTTTTTGCCTGGGCTGGCCTAGAAATATGATCCTCCAGATCTCCACCTCCAGAATAGCTGGGATAACAAGCCTGAACCACCACTCTTGGCCTCAAATTTTGAGTGTTTTTTTTTTTTTATTTTAAGTTTATCCTACATTAATAGTATGAGAGGATTTCATTGTGATAATTCCACGTATGACTACAGTGTACCTTGAACAAATTCACTCCCTCCATTATATTCCCATTCTGTCTCTCCTTCTACCCCCTCTTTCAAATTGTTTTTCATTATGCTGCCTCCATAAGTCTATATGCAGTGTAGTCCTCCCTGGGCCCTTCACATGACTTAGACTATGTCCATTTCTTGGACTCTCCAAGAAAGCAGTGGGACTATAGGAGTGGGCATCTGAGGATATCCTGTTACTCCTTCTTTTAAAGGGGTTGACATAAAATTGTTGCTTGTTCATCATCATAACTGGTAAGCAGTTTAAACTTTATCTGAGAATTTTAAAATGTTTAATTTAAAAAGTGATTACATTACTATTTTGTTCTGTTTTCTTAAGGTACTGGGCTGGCTCCTGATAGCAGTTGTTATTATCTTTCTTCTAATTTTTACATCTATCACCCGCTGCCTGTCACCAGTTAGTTTTCTGCAGCTGAAATTCTGGAAAATCTATTTGGAAAAAGAGCAACAGATCTTTAAAAATGAAGCCACAGAACATGCAACTGAATTGGCAAAAGAGAATATTAAATGTTTCTTTGAGTGTTCCCATGCAAAGGAATGCAACACCCCAAGCATTAAAGACTGGCAGCAAATTTCATCACTGTACACTTTCAATCTGAAGGAACAATACTACAGCATGTTGCACAAATATGTTAACAGAAAAGAGAAGAGCAACAGTATCAGAACTTCTGAAGGAGATGCAGTGATTCCCATCCTTGGCTTTGTAGATTCCTCTGTTATCAGCAGCACTAGTGACGTATGAACTTACAAAGAAATAGAAAATTTTTTTTTCAGTACTGGGGCTTAATCTCAGGGCCTTCACCTTGAGCCACTCTGCCAGCTCTTTTTGAGATGGGTATTTTCGAGATAGGGTCTCACGAACTATTTGCCCAGGCTGGCTTCAAACCATGATCCTCCTGACCTCTGCCTCCTGAGTAGCTAGGATTATAGGCATGACCCACTGGCTCTCAGCTTAAGAAAAAAAATTTTTTGAACTATTGTTTCATTGAAAATACTGCTATTGTTTATGACTGCTTTTTTTCCTTCCCAATTGTGGGATTTTAGATCTAAAATTGAAATATAAAGCTTAACCTCTTTATTATATTAATTATTAAACAAATAAACAAACAAAACCCAGGATAAATGATTCACCCAAAGTGCCAAACTAGATTAGAAGCCTTATTCCCTATTCTCAGTTCCTATTCAAATAAAAGATGTTAATCTTATAATGCTGTTTTTAACTAAGACAGTAGTGAGTACAACAAAAGAACAATTTAACTTCAGACCTTTCTACTAGGTTATATTAATTTCAACTTCACTTTTTTGCCAAGAGCAGCTTATTAGAAATCTAAAAATTATAAGATTTTAGCCTGCTTTCTCCCATAATGTATAGCATATTGGATTTCTACCCAAGCCTGCTGAGGTCATTCAAATATTATGATGTTTTATGGCTCTAATATGGCTACTATCCAAAAGTCAATTGAGAAAAGAAAAGTAAAAAATTTAAATATAAAACTTGAAAAGAAGTTTAGGATAACTGCAGGAAGTAACAATCGTTTTTAGTTTGTAAGATTTAGTTTGTAAGAAACATTTGAAAGCTATTTGTTATGGTAAATTTCAAATATGCACGAAAGTAGACATCTAATCATTAGACAGCTTCAACAGAGTGGGGAAGTCAGATAAACATGCCATACAAATAATTATAAAAATGCAAATTGTGATCTGATTTAGATTAGGGAAGTAAGGGGCTAGGGAAACTGAGAAACTGAAATCTGTAGAATAGATAGCAGAGCATTTCCTTCAGAAGGAACAGTATGCAAAGATTGAGGTGGAGCCATAAAGGTGACTAGAAAAACCAGCAATGGACAGACCATGCAGTGCCTTGAAACCAAGCTAAGATTTTGAATTCATCCTATTAGTATTTTAGGGATATTGATCTGCCATTTTTTTTTTGAAAATAATAGTAAGGGAAAAGAAGGAGAGTCAGGGTGGAGGCAGAGAAACTAATCAGGAGGCTACTGAAGTGAAAATAGGTAGGAGTGAACTTAAACTGGGTTGATGATGATCAAAATAGGAAAAATAGACTTTGTAGATGGGCATGATGAGATTCATTGATGGACAGGTTGTAAACAGTTAGTGAACACAGTGATATCTACAGATAAATTCAATACCCATAATACCAGGACGTTTTAGAGATACTTATCTTCCATTAGCTTGTCATTCCTGCCCATCTCCCAAATTTATGAGTGTTTTCTGCATTTTTTAAAGTGAGGTATGAATACTTTAAACTATGAAACAATTGAGCACTGATTATGTTTAGCCCTTCTTCCTCTCTTGCTTCTTTTATTGCATTGGGCCACCAAGAGAAACTAGACTGAATATCCTGTTGTTGAAAATCATATTTAACAAGAAAGTGGGCAGTAGAAACTGCATGATCAGTTTTTTCCAATTCCCTAAAAGAACAGTTTTGAAAGTCATATACATCACGTCTACTTTCATTTTTGCTTCTTTTATTTCATTTTCTAAATTCTTTTTGTGTATTCTTCCACTTCAGAAATTTTTTTGATTTATTACTTACATCTCTCATTTATTACTTAAATCTTCAGTAATATTGTATTGTGTCTATTTTGTTGGCTTAAACTCCACTTTTCCTTGTAGCCTTTAGTAATTATGGTGAAAATATATATACTTAAATTAAAAATTATAATGGTAGAAATTTGTGTGAGATAAAAAGTAAAATTACCTGTTGCAATGTAGCTTTCCGAGAGATAGCCACATACCCTGTCTGCAAAAAATATTATCCTGTAAATGTTGTTTTGTAAACTTTCACATCATTGTGAAGCAGCATATAACAATTTACCTCATTAAAAAATTACTGCACACTATTCTACTAGTTAGTAGGATGTGATCCCTTGTTTTTGACAGCATATACACCTAAGCATCAAATTGTCAAGTATGGTCACTTCTGGAAGATTAGTGCTGGAACTATTTTATTTTAAGCCTCATGTAGTTTTGATCATTGGACTTTTGAGTAATGAATAACAAATATTAATTGTGTAAGTAGAAAACATTAAATAAGAGCCCTACATTGGTGTAGGGATTTACAATCAACAAAGAAGTTTTGAATCATTGACCTCATTTCGTTTTCATGAGTTTGTGGGTTTTCATGAGTACTGTGAAGCATATCACTCACATTTAGTGTAGGTTTCATTACTAGCCTGAGGTCATGGGATCACACAATCTGGAGCTAGGTAGCTAGACCTCTCTAAATCATTTGGCTCAATGTGGTCACTTGGCTATTTTCATTATTGGGCCATGTATTATGTGCTTTTGTGAACAGAAGACAACACAGATGCTCTTAGTGAGGCTCAGTATTTCACATTTCATCCTAAAACTCGGCAACTATTGATAGTTAAGATAGCTTTTTTTTTTCTTTTTTCTTTTATTATTCATATGTGCATACAAGGCTTGGTTCAGTTAAGATAGCTTTAAATAAGAATAGTGTGACCGAGACACAGCATGGTGGGAATATGAAACTGTTTGGCATATTCCCTAGTTCTCTGGACCTGATCTCAAACAGGCCACACCATGGGCTCAACAGGCATTTTTACCCTTGCTGGGTGTATGTACTGGCTTAACAATTGAATCTTTATAATCATCCCCCCACCCCACCACCGGCAGCTTTATGCTGTCCTGAAACCTTAACTTTAGGAGACATTCAGAATCAGCTTCTGCTCTTAATATTTGCTGAAAACAAATATATTGTTGTAAGAAATGGTTCCACAGTGTACTGAGTACTGGCAAAATAATACACTTTAGGAGCATTAGATGAAGCATGGTCTCCTTGCTCCACCCAAAGCCGTGGCCAGAAATATCAATGCTGTATGAACTGATTAAAGACATAAGTGCCAAGGGAAGCATCCTAAAACAGAATTAACCTTGTACCCAAATGTCTCTGACTGAAAAGCCTTGTGGAACCCCTAAGTTTCACAATATCCTGCATCTTATCTACCAGGTGGCCTATGGTAAATAACTCTCCATACCACAAAAGATGGAGAAATCCTTCCAGTCTGAGTCATCCCTAGCCACAGCAACTGTTGCGTATTTTGTCAGCAGCAAACTCCCACTGAGTGCCTACTGTGTACTAAACCATTGTCTGCTCTGAAAGCCAAGCCTCCACTGGATCTAATTTTATCTCTTCCTCCTCATTATCTCCCTATGAAACAGCTCTTATGAATTACAATGCAAGGACCATGAATTGATATTATATTCTTATTCAATGAGATATACCTGAATCAAAAAACAGATGTAGCTTGTCAAGACCCTTTGCCGAAAGTACCAGAACTCGAAAAAATTTCCAAATCTGCAAGATTAGGCAAGTTATTGTAATTTCAAAATTTATGAGACATCAAACACAGAGACAATATGAAACATTTTTGTATAACTTAAAATATAATTACAAGACACACATCATCTTTGTAAGTACCACAGAAAGGAAACAATACATTTCCATCACCCCCTAAAACTTGCTCCCCCCGTGTGTCCACACAATTCCAATTCTTTCCATCTAGAATGAGAGATGATTATTTGTTTATTTTTACGTATAGCTTTACTGTCTATGTATGCATTCCCAGACTGTTACTGTTTAGTTTGGCATGTTTTTGAACTTTATGAGGATGAAATCATCCTCTAACAATTGTTTGTGGTCCTCTTTTCTGTTTGTTTTCATCTGGGAGATTAATTTATATATGTGTAGAACAATTTCTTTTGATTGCTGCACATTCATTTAACTACTGATGTATTTTTTGTTTACTCCCAATTTCTGGCTCTTATGAACAATACAGGGGTGAACACCTATGGACTTGTGCTCTAGTACATGTGCAAGTGAGTATGTAGAATTTGTTCTGAGGAACGGATGGTAGCACAAGGGAAGGCGCATTCCAGATTGCTAGATAATGTCAAGCATTTGTCACAGTCATTTACCAGTTTATACTATTATGAGAGTTGCTACTGATTTTTGCAATGGTAGTAGTTGGTATTTCTAATCATTAACTTTTTGTCACCCCAGTGAATAGAATATATAAGAATACCTCTCATTGTGATTTTAATTGGCATTTCCCTAATCATTAAAGGTTTTATGTATCTTTTCATGTATTTAAATCTTTTGCATATCCCTTTTTTTGAAACATCTATTCAAGACTTTTGTCATTTTTTATATTTGGGTTGTATGTATTTTTTGAATTGATTCATCAGATTTAATTATTATTTCATTTGCTTAAACCAAGGAATATTTAAGTGCCTGCTATGTTCCAGGCAAGTTCTTTGTATTTGTACTATGTTAGTGAGCTAACGACAAAGTCCTGTCTTGGAGATGTAAAGAGAATACTATGAAGAGAAAAGAGAACACTCTTAAAACACTGGAGTTGGATGAAATATTCTGTAGAAATCAGCTAGGTCCATTTGATCTAGGATGTGATTTAGTTCTAGAATTTCTTTATTAATTTTTTTGTTTGGATGACCTATCTATTGGTGATAGGGGAGTATTAACACTACCACTGTGTTGGAGTCTATATGCGCTTTTAGGTCCTTCAGAGTAAGTTTGATGAAACTGGGTGCACTGACATTGGGTGCATATAGGTTGATAGTTGTTATTTCCTTTTGGTGCATTTCACTTTGTATTAGTATGAAGTGCCCTTCTTTATCTCATTTGATCAATGTAAGTTTGAAGTCTACTTTGTCTGAGGTAAGTATTGCTACTCCTGTTTTCAGAGGCCATTGACTTGGTAAATCTCCTTCCAGCCTTTCACTCTTAGTCACTGCTTGTTTATGTTGATGAGATGGGTCTCCTGTA